CAAGTTTAGTGAAGGAGGTTTAGGTGGAGGAATCTTAGAGAGAAGTGAGAGCAAGTTTGAAAATCAAATTTTAGAGAGAGAGGGATGAATGGGGTGCTGGAATTCTGGTCTGAAATGTGAGGGGAAGGTGCCCTAATTAGGGGTGCTATGTCACTAAGTGACCATTCGTCCTTTAGTGAGAACCAGTGTAATTTTTAACTGAATCGTCGTCAAATTTTTACCCTGAAACTCCCAAGACTCTAAATTTAAGTACTTAACATTAATTTTGTCTAATTATCATGTTCATAACTTAAAAATTTAATTAGTCGATCACAGATCCACTAACAATTGTTTAATTGCGCTGTAGACTTTACTAATGTTCTTAACGGTATTCGGATTTCATGATCTTCTTAACTTTATCATTTTTGGTCTAATTATGACTTGTTAGGCATATATTGATCTTTATTTCGATTTTCTCATCTTTTTCTCGTTTCGGGATTCTACCGGCTGCTGCTACAGCAGTACAAAATACCCGGCAGAAGTGACTTTTCAAAAATACCCCAATATGGGTATCAATCTTCATCAAATCATATCCTAACCTCATTCATGATGTTTATATCATTAGATTAGCTATCTAACTATAATTTGCTAACTTGGAGCTATTCTACTAACTTTCACTGCGTTATCAGTCAAAATTAAATGATGAAAATTCATCTGTGCAAAATACCCTCAATATGGGTATCAAAATTCTTAGAATTTCATCATCATTCTATTTATGACCATAAGGTCCTCATTATAACCCTCTAATTTAAAAGTCATTTAATTAGGGTTATTATACATTTCACTCCTAGATGTACGGGATGCGGAAAGAAGCATTTAGGACGTTGTGCTACTAGAGTGTTGCTATGCTACAAGTGTGAAAAGGGTGGTCATATGGACAATGATTGTTATACTTCAGTTGCTAGGGCTGCAGCAGTTCAGGAGGCCCCTCTTCAGATGTTTCCTGCTTCATCTACAGCGGCACCTGTTGTGCCACCTGTCACCAGTCGAGTTTACACCTTGGATCGCCAGCAGTCGGATAAAGCTCCCAACCTTGTGAGAGATATTGCTTTTATTGGTGGTTCTGTTGTTGATGTTTTGTTTGATTCTGGGGGTACGCATTCTTTCATTGCAACCCCGATTGCTGTGGGGCTTGAGTTGCCCAGTTCTGTGCTTTCTCCATCGTTGCGGGTTACTACCGCCACCGAAGAAAAGTGTGCTACTTTTGCTGTACATCGAGATGTCGTGTTTCAGTGGAATAGCTGTGATTACTCGGTAGATCTAATAGGATCGTCGATGGCTAATTTGGATATCATCCTTGGCATGGACTGGTTGTCCAAGAATTGTGTGATAATTGATTGTTGTGCGAAGTGAGTGGTGATGTCTCCGTGTGATTCCACTGCCAGTTCCTCGCCTTATATTTCAGTGTTGCAGGCTAGGAGAGCCTTGAGAGCAGGGGCATTTGGATATGTCATGTTGGGAGGTCTAGTGAGTGGGACACAGGAGGACATTACCGGCATTCCTGTGGTGAAGGAATTCCTCGAGGTGTTTCCTGAGGAGATTCCTCTGTTTCCTCCACAGAGGGAATTAGAGTTCTCCATTGGTTTGTTGCCTGGTGTGGAGCCTATTTCATTAGCTCTATATCAGATGTCTCCACCAGAGTTAGCAGAGCTGAAGAAGCATATTGAGGATCTTTCAGCGAAAGACTTCATTCGACCGAGTGTGTCTCCATGGGGAGCACCAGTCATTTTTGTTAAGAAGAAAGATGAGACTATATGATTGTGCAACGACTACAGACAGCTGAACAAGGTGACAATCAAGAACAAGTATCCCCTCCCTCATATTGATGATCTGTTGGATCAACTCAGGGGTGCTTGCGTGTACTCGAAGATTGATCTCTAGTCCGGATACCATCAGATTCGGGTGTAGCTGAAGGATGTCCCCAAGACCGCATTTCGCTCGAGATACGATCACTTTGAGTATTTGGTGATCTCGTTTGGACTCACCAATGCACTCGAAGTGTTCATGGATTACATGAACTGTATTTTCTAGCCGTACTTAGATCAGTGTGTGATCGTCTTCATTGACGATAACTTGATTTACTCCAAGAGTGAGGAGGAGAATGCGGAGCACTTGAGGATGCAGGTGCTGAAGGAGAAAAAGCTTTATGCTAAGCCTTCAAAGTTTGAGTTTTGGCTCAAGTCAGTGAAGTTCCTTGGGCATGTGATTTCTGCACCCATGTGGCATCCTCAGGTTTCAATCCTTCCCATTGAATCTTGATCATGGGAATGACTCTATTTCGAAGCTGTTTCTCATCTCGAGCAAGAACCTTAGAAGGTCCAACAAGGAACTTCAAATCCTTCATAACCTCTATGTCATCGGGCTGTACAATATGTGAATCATTAGATATATATCTGTGGAGCTGACTCACATGGAAGACGTCATGTAAATTTGCCAAGTTGGGAGGTAGAGCAAATTGATATGCCACCGGTCTGACCCTCTTTATTATCTGATAGGGCCCAATGAACTGTGGACTCAACTTTCTCACTCCCAAGGCACGCCCAACACCTATAGTAGGTGATAGTCGGATGAATACATGATCCCCTTCAGAGAACTCAAGGGGTCTGTGCTTGGCATTATAATAACTTTTCTAACAGCTTTGAGCTTTCTTCAGCCTATCTCTGATCATCTCAATCTGCTCTGTAGTTTCTTGGACCAAGTCAGGCCCCATTAACTGTCTCTCTGCAACCTTCGTCCAACAAGTAGGTGCTCTACACCTACGGCCGTACAAGGCCTCATAAGGAGCCATGCCCATACTGGCATGATAACTGTTATTGTAGGAGAAGTCAACCAGTGGTAGGTACTTGTCCCAGGCATTACCCTGGTCTAACACACATGCTCTCAACATGTCCTCTAGTGTCTGAATGGTCCTCTCGGTCTGACCATCTGTCTGCGGATGATATGCAGTACTCAATCTCAATTGAGTACCAAAAGCCTCATGCAACACATCCCAGAAGCGTGAAGTAAACTTCGGATCCCGATCACTGACTATGCTTTCGGGAATACCATGAAGCTTCACAATCTCTCTAACATATAGTCTGGCTAGCTGCTCTGTGGAGAAAGTCGTCTTGACTGGAATGAAATAGGCGGATTTAGTCAACCTATCAACCATAACCCATATGGAATCAAATCCAGCCTGGCTTCTCGGTAATCCAACAACAAAGTCCATGGATATACTTGTCCACTTCCACTCCAGAATATCTAATGGCTGTAGCAAACTAGAAGGCTTCTGATGCTCAATTTTTACCTTCTGACAAATAAGGCACTTATTCACAAACTGGGCTATGTCTTTCTTCATCCCAAACCAATAAAAATTTTGTTTCAAATCTTGGTACATCTTAGTTGCACTTGGGTGAATGGTGTACTTATCTATATGACCCTCTATTAACACTTCTTCTACCATTGACCCTTTCGGGACAATTAACCGATCTTTGTAGTATTTCACATGAGAAGCGGTGAACACAAAATCTTGCTCTTTCATCATTTGGATCCCTTCATCAAGCACTTGGGCCGCTTTAAATTTTTCCATTAACGAATTTTGGACTTCGACCGTAGCCATGAAATATGAAGTCTCAAATGGTGTCACAGAAATTCGCAAATCCCTGAACTCCTCAATCAAATCATACTCTGCAATCATCATGCTAACCACACCCGTGGTCTTTCTGCTCAAGGCATCAGCCACTACATTCGCCTTTCCAGGGTGATACTGAAGGTCAAACTCATAATCCTTCAGGAATTCCATCCATCTCCTTTGTCTCATATTAAGCTCCTTTTGATCGAATAGACACTTCAAGCTTTTGTGTGTGAAGGTAGCACCATACAAGAAGTACCTCCATATCTTCAAGGCGAAAACCACAGCCGCTAACTCAAGATCATGAGTAGGGTAGTTCTCTTCATGTGGTCTCAAGCATAGGCCACTACCTTTCGCTCCTGCATCAACACGCACCCTAATCCACACTTGGATGCATCACAATAAATCTCAAATCTCTTTTCCGGATCAAGAAGAATCAGAACCGGTGCGGTAGTCAACTTGTCGTTCAACTCTTGAAAGCTCATATCACACCCAAGGGTCCATGCAAATGGCACCCCCTTTTGGGTCAACCTAGTCAACGGCAAGGCGATTCTGGAGAATCCATTGATAAATCGCATGTAGTATCCGGCTAAACCCAGAAAACTCCGGATCTCAGTAACACTCCTGGGTTTCTCCCAATCCAGCACAACTTTAATTTTACTCGGATCAACAGCCACTCCTGTAGATGAGATGACGTGTCCAAGAAACTGGATCTCATGTAACCAAAACTCACACTTGGATAGTTTGGCATATAACTGATGTTCCTTTAAAATCTGTAGAACTATCTTCAGATGCTCTGCATGTTCTTCCTTACTTTTGGAGTAGATCAGAATATCATCAATGAACACAACAACAAACTGACCTAAATATAGTTTGAAAATTCGGTTCATATAACTCATGAACACGGCCGGGGCATTAGTAAGCCCAAATGGGATCACTAGATACTCATAGTGCCCATATCTAGATCGAAAAACCGTCTTCGGGATATCCTCAGCCTTTACACGGATCTGGTGATATCCGGAACGAACACAGAAGCACCTCTGAGCTGATCCAACAGATCATCAATGCGTGGTAGAGGATACTTGTTCTTCACTGTCACCTTGTTTAACTGTCGGTAATCAGTTCACAATCTCATAGTCCCATCCTTCTTCTCCACAAAGATAACTGGTGCACCCCAAGAAGATACACTTGGTCTAATAAAATTCTTGCTGGACAATTCTTCTAACTGCTTCTTCAGCTCAGCAAGCTCTACAGGTGACATCCGATATGGAGCCAATGAGATAGGCCCCACACCAGGTACTAAGTCAATTGAGAATTCAATCTCCCTCTCAGGTGGAAAATGAGGAATTCCTTACGGAAATGCGTCTTCAAACTCGCATACAACCAGAATATTAGCAGTAGGTTCTTTGGAGTCTCCTACGAGTCCTCCCAAGATAATGTATCCTGCATCTCCCTTATCTAGAGCCTTATTTAACTGCGGTGCCATCGAGTACAAACTGTCCAGCTTTTCTCCTTTTGCAGCAAAGAAAACCCTTCTACTACAACAATATAGCATCACACCATACCGAACCAGCCAATCCATACCCAATATAATATGTAGATTCATGCCCTCAAGCGCTATCAAATCCACCATATACTCTTCTTGCTCATATATGAATTTGACTTCTTTGCACTTCAAAGAAGTAGAAATAATGTCTCCGATGGCAGTCTTCATTACCATGGGAGGCCTGAACTCATGAATGGGCAAATGTAATCCATTAGCAACAAATTCTGATATGAAGGAGTGGGTAGCTCCAGAATCAAACATGGCATCAAATGTATATCCTCTAATAAGAATAGTACCTCTGATAAGGTTAGGAGACCTCTCTGCCTTTTGCTGAGTCGCTGCATATACCCTGGCACTAGTGGGCGCCATAGGCTCATCTATGGCTCTCTGAGTAGGCACAGACTGAATTAGAATCGCCTGAATAGCTGCAACTTGCCTCATCTTCTTAGGGAACTCTCTGGAATAGTGTCCTGCCTGACCACAATTGAAGCAAACATTATGCCCTAGTCTACAAACACCTGTATGCATCTTTCCACACTTGGTACAAGTGGGAATCTTCCCTACACCAGACATTCTGCTTCCATTCTTCACAAAGGGAGTCTTCTTAAACTTGGTGTTCTGTTGTGCTTGCAAACCTTTGCCCTTACCCTTCCAGGGGGTAGTCTTCCCACTGAAGCTCTTTCCTGCTGCTTCCTTTCCCCTAGTACAAAAGTGCTCCTGAATATTCTGGCACTGCTTGATCAACTCCACAAAATCTCTGGTGCAATGACCAGCCAGTTTGTCTGCTATTATATCATTCAGACCTTTCCTGAATCGAAAGGCCTTATCTTCTGGAGTGAGGGGAGCTCTACCATAATAAGAATATTTTGCTAAGCGGTTGAACTTGCTCAGATATTCATCCACAGTCATGCCTCCCTGCCGGAGGTCTTCAAACTCACTCTTCTTCTTTTCCCTGGCTTATTCAGGGAAGTACTTATGCAGAAAATGCCTCTCAAATAATGGCCAAGTAATAGCATAACCTTGGCACTCAAGTGGGTTTCTAACATTACTCCACCAGTCAGCAGCATCCCCATATAACACGTACACCGCATATAGGAGCTTCGTGTTGGCATCTTATTCCATAACCTGAAAAATGCGCTCCATCTCTTGCAGCCACTCCAATGTTGCGATGGGATCTCTTCCACCTTTATAGTGAGGTGGGGAATGCTTCCTGAAAGCGTTCAGCATACGCTCTCTAGTATCCCGGTCAAACCTGGGTGGAATAGCTGATCTATCAACCTCAATAAATGGCTTCTTCACTCGTCCCTCATTGACAGATGCCTCTGCCTCCTGATGGGCCTCTCCTGAACCTTCCTATCACAGCACAACAGGCTCAAGAATCTATACGGGACCAGCAGCACGTGCAACCTACTACTGCACATGTGGTGTAACTGGCGGTGGAGGAGGTGGTGAAGGTGGTGGAGGTCCTCCTCGTACCTCTGTCAACAGTAATCGGATCATCCTGGCATTGGCCAGCCTATTTTGCACCATAAGGTCTTCACTTGCCTTTCTCAGCTGTTCTCTATCGCGCTCTCTGGCCTCTTCGATTCTTTTTAAATCAGCTTCCCTGGTTTCATTCAGGGTCTGCTGCTATAGCTGCAACAAAAGGATCAGGAGGAGGGTTTTGAACTGTTCTCCTGGGTCTCCCCCGAGGTGCCATGTCACTACACAAAACTGCACGAGGTATGAGTTAGCTACGCTCAATCAAGTGATAGCATATGCAATATCATGACACTCAAAAGATACTCAATAAACAGTTCTAGCACTTAAGCAATACATCAGTGAACGTCCCAGTGAAACTGCTCTGATACCATAAATGTAACACCCCGTAGTACTCCGGTTGTTAACATACATGATATTTAACATTCACAGCGGAAGGCTTTATTTGAAAAGGAATAAAGCGTCTTATAAAAGTAAGAGTAAATTTTTTCCAAAATATTTTATAAAAACATTTCTAAAAACGTTCACGTGAGATACTGCGAAAGCGTAAATCTAAACATACATCTACTAATTACTCCTAAGATCCAATATTAGTGGCCATTGACCATCAAGATATGACATCAAGTGTCATGCATGACGGAGTCTCACGGACAGCATAACGGCTGTATTTTGGATAACTGGGAACATGGTCCCACACATACAGATCACCTAATTGAAACAATAATTTAAACAGATAGCTTGCAAGTCCCACACGAACTGCAATCCCCTCGATGGGTCAATACAAATAATAAGGCTCCTTGCCCAAATTAACTGAATACATGCATCAAGTCTATATTAATTCAAAGTATAAAAGCATCAGTAAATAATCCATGGCTCCAAGAATACAATCATGAGCCTAAATAAATACATACAATAATCTCCACAAAATAATTAAGCATGTTAACAAGTCTACATGCAAACATCAAATCTAAACATAATATAAAATTATCAGCTGCATCATCAACTACTCCAATGCGGGGGCCTTGCCCCTAGAAGTATCACCACTACTCTGGGTACCTGAAATGATGTCCCCAAACCGGGTGAGATAACAACATCTTAGTAAGCTCAAGATTCATAGAGGATCCTCTAACCCCTGAGCCCACTTCCTGCATGATAAGTCAGATATGAAGCATATAATACAGACAGCATAAACATAGCATCATCATGTTATCTTTGTGTAACCCCAGGGTCAAAGCCATAGACGGTTACACATGTGTGACTTCCAGGGTCAAGCCATAGACAGTCAACACAACCTCAGTATGAAATAGCTCCCAGAGTCAAGTCATAGGCAGCCTACATACCATGATCATTGGCCAGGATTCTCATAACATATATCATCAGTGCATCATCATAACATCAAGATCATATAACATCTATATGAATGTGAATGAATGCACATATACATCATACCATATACTTTCATACAATACAACCATAATGCCCACCTCTTGGTAGGGCCACAAGAGAGAGGAGTCAGCTAGAACTAGGAGCTTACCCCAGGGAGCTTAGCACAAGCCCACACTTCAATATAATACGCGTGCTCCAACAAAATCCTCGAGTGCACGGTTCTCTAGGCACACCTAGAGTAGAAACTATTCACATCATTAATTACATATTAATTAATCAAGTCAAATCCATGACTTAATCATTTAATGATTCCACTTTTCATACTCATATGCCAATAATATGCCCATTACAAGTCTAGACCAATTATTACTTATTACATATTTTTGTGCATTATTACAAGCCACTTTAATCTTCAATTACCTACATAGCTTAGAATCACATGCAAGGCTCACTTAGGTAACTTAGATTAGTTTCAACTCATCCAAGCCATATTTATGACTATTATTAGTTACTAAGGGTTCCCATAAGCCCACTTAGCTTAAATATCACTTTTACGGTTTTTCCCAAAACTGTACAAGCTTCTGTTTTCTAGTTACTGAGCGCGACTCACTTGTTATAAAATTCTTATCTTTTATTATGTTAATCTAGACTCAATTACCTTTCCAACAAGCTATCACATGCCTCATTTGGAGTTTCCTAGCTCCGGTTATCACCATTTGAAGTTGGACAAGCAAAGCTGTTTGCCAACTCCAAACAGGGCCCTAAACATCCTTTACCATTTCTGCGATTCAGGAAAATATACTAAACCAATTGCTCTCAAAGTTTTAATCTAACAACTAGACACCTTTAGCTTAAATTCGACATATTATGAGCCTAATTGCAGCCATGTCCAGCCCCTGCACATGGCCTCCATGTGCAGTCCTCACTCAAACGAACATACAGAACGGAATACATCTTCAATTGATACCAAATTTTGACACCACATAGCTAACATCTCATGCTTCGATTTGATATAAGGAATAAATCTATATGACCTCTGTGGAGGGAGATATGCTCTCCCCATTTTTGCCTACAAACTGGTTACTTAGCCTTAAATGTGTTTACTTAACAAACCTTAATTACTTTTGATTATAAAACCTAATTCACATTAATTCTTGGATTTTTCTATTATTAAGTCACTTTATGAAATATCCTTAGTCCCATTATGTCATGATACTTAAATTTTACTAATTATTTAATTAGTGTACCGAAACCCTACTTTAGTCCAATTTTAGAGTTAAATTCTTAATTACTTTTGTTAATTAATCCCTACCCTTAATTAATCACCTAATTCATCATCTCCTTAATTTTAACACAACTAAACCCTTATATAATTTATGGGGCAGATTTGATGAGCTATTTTAATTAGGGTTTTTAGCCATTATTAATCATGATTAGTGAGTTTTACTTAGAGTTAACCAACCTAGTTAATCTTTCTAATCATTTTTTCACACTTAACAACTTAAACACATTTTTTTGTCATCAAACCCTATCCATCCTTGACTTGGCTGAATCATACATAGTCCATATTAGGGTTCATAGTCATCTTTTTACATGAACATCACTCAAAGGTCCAAAGGTGGCACCTTTAGTCATCCAATCCATCATTCCATGGTTCAAAACACACCCATCCTTAAGGATCATCATCAAACCATGGCATTAAAACTTTTTAAACAATATTTCTCCAATACATAACAAAATCGCGGCACTCACACAAGAAAAAAAGAGACTTTTTGGTTATTTTGCTCCATGGAAGCTTACATCTTCAAGGTTCCTCCTTTAGCTCAAGGCTCCACCTTTTTCCACCAAGAACCCTCCTTTAAGCAAGGACAAACCTTCATGAACATGCTCATGAGTTAGGCTCAAGAACACAAGAAGAAAGATGAGGTTTTTCATGAAAAAAAAATCAAGAGAACTTACCCAAAAATCAAAGGAACCAAGCAAGCAAATGTGGTTCTTCAAGGAAGCTCAAGAACACAACTCCATGGCCTTGGATCTTCACAAAACCATGGCTGTACAAGGAGCTATGGACCATGAAATTTTAGCTTCACACCATAAAAATGGTATGGTTGTGAAGAGGAGAGTGAGGGGAGCAAGTTTAGTGAAGGAGGTTTTGTGTTTTGGAGAGGTTTAGGTGGAGGAATCTTAGAGAAAAGTGAGAGAAAGTTTGAAAATCAAATTTTAGAGAGAGAGGGATGAATGGGGTGCTGGAATTCTGGTCTGAAATGTGAGGGGAAGGTGCCCTAATTAGGGGTGCCATGTCACTAAGTGACCATTCGTCCTTTAGTGAGAATCGGTGTAATTTTTAACTGAATCATCGTCAAATTTTTATCCAGAAAGTCCCATGACTCTAACTTTAAGTACTTAACATTAATTTTGTCTAATTATTATGTTCATAACTTAAAAATTTAATTAGTAGATAACAATCCACTAACAGTTGTTTAATTGCACTATAGTCTTTACCGGTGTTCTGAACGGTATCCGGATTTCATGAACTTCTTAACTTTATCATTTTTGGTCTAATTATGACTTGTTAGGCATATATTGGTCTTTATTTCTATTTTCTCATCTTTTTCCCGTATCGGGATTCTACCGGCTACTGCTACAGCAGTACAAAATACCCGGCAGAAGTGACTTTTCAAAAATACCCCAATATGGGTATCAATCTTCATCAAATCATATCCTAACCTCATTCATGATGTTTATATCATTATATTAGCTCTCTAACTATAATTTGCTAACTTGGAGCTATTCTACTATGCGTCAGTAGTCAAAATTAACTGATGAAAATTCATTTGTAAAATACCCTCAATATAGGTATCAAAATTCTTAGAATTTCATCATCATTCTATTTATGACCATAAGTTCCTCATTATAACCCTCTAATTCAAAAGTCATTTAATTAGGGTTATTATACATTTCACTCCTAGATGTACGGGATGCGGAAAGGAGCATTTAGGACGTTGTGCTACTAGAGAGTTGCTATGCTATAAGTGTGAAAAGGG